TCATCATCATCATCATCATCATCATCATCATCATCATCATCATCATCGCCATCATCATCGTCATCACCACCACCATCATCAAATATTTACAATCCAACCCTACCTGCGGCATGTCGCAACCCAGAAGATCCAGAAGAACCCAGGGACATTTGCAGATGAGATGCTGTCCCATATATGACGGTGAGGATGTCCCACCTCAAACATGGGCCTGAAAACACATTGTCAGACAAGACTATATATAGTTGTAGCACAATGCCTGGTCCAACATCAACATACCCCTGCCCATGTATTGAAGATGTCTTGTCTGGGCATGTGCCATCCCAGAAGTTCCTTGAACATGACCCTGGATCCCACCATGCTTGCTTTGGATCCCTGTGCGCCTGTGCGCGGTGACCAGCAAAAGCGGAGGCGTTTCATCACATCGATGGTGGGGTTCGAGAGGGTGAAGGCGGAAACACCACCAGCAACGGAGAGCTCACCTTGCGCCTGGGCGGCTGCCGGAACAGCGCGTCGGAACGGCCGCCGTGCGGAAGGTGAACGATGACCTGGGAGGGGATCCGGCCGCCCTTTCTGAAATCGCTTTGCTCTACGAGGGTTGTTCAGCCATTGCAACAAAGGTTGATCTTCCAGCCCAGAGGGTCAATAGGGTTCAGCCTTGCTCTACCAGGGTTGTCTTATTGATTCTTTGTTCGCTTTGCCCCAAGCAAGTCGACAAAACATCAAGAAGACACCTTCCACCCGCTTGGATCCGAGGCGCGAGTTCGAGGCAGGCTTGCGGGACATCGGCTGTCATAAGCCCCCTGGCGCGATCGGACGCGGGGGGTTCATGTGGGAGGGAGTTGCGATGCAACATGCGACATCGTGCACTGAAGACTTTAACGTACTTTCAACTACTTTACACTCCCTGACGCCCTGAAATAATCATGGAAAACATTGGAAGACCATGTGGTTGTAGAGGAAACTTCTCATCCAATGGATGTGCTGCATAGGTGCTGCATATGCACGCGTTCCCGAAACACTTCCGCCAGGTCACCCAGTCCCACCCCGCGAGTGGATCAATCAAAGTCATTGCCCAGACCCTTGATGGGACTGGAAGATTTGCACTCCCTGAAACTAACATGGAAGCGGAAAATGGCCACTTGGAAGGCCAGTTTCCTCTCCAAACAGTACAGGGGATTTTCCACTTCCATCTTAGTTCCATTGAGGTGATTCGCTTGCGATCAACACCATGGGTTTAGGGTTTGATCTTCAGAACCTCGTTCCGAACCACGTCTTTACCGTTTAGAAAGACCAGGTCAACTTGGACCATTTGGGTTACGGATCGCATCCAGTGAGCTGCGGTGAACCGGCCGAACCTGCACCCGTCCCAGGTTCCGGGGGCCCAACGAGAAGGAGCGCATCGGAGCCGTCTTCAGGCGAGGAAGTTGGGCAGGAAAAAGAACGACTTGAGATCTTCCTTGGTTTTGACCGGTTGACCTGCCCAGTTCGGTTGACCTGCCCAGTTGACCAGGTCTGCAGTTTAGTACGGTTGACCTGGTTTTGTGGTCTCAAGGTCTCAGACAAAGAATGTCAATGCGAGGCCGATCCTGAACACCTTTTCCAATACCTGAACCCTGGCCTTCAAGTGTCTCCCGCGACGTGACAGGTTTGCGGTCACCGGATGTCCACCCAGGTTTTGGATCGAGGGCGAGCAATCGCTTGTACACTTGAAATTCTTGATGTAAATTCCCAGTGCGCAAGTGATTGCCCGGCCCTTGGATCGAGGGTGACTGAGAGAGAAGAACTGAAAGCTCCCTCAGTTGTTCAGCCGAACGGAGCCAATAAGTGAAGCTCAGCTCCCGGAATCCTGTGGCCAACTCCAGCCTCTTAGTTGCCGCAAACTAAGATGTGCCTACATATGGCATGGGAGAACCAGTTAATATTTCGGAGTTTGTTCAATCCGTTTCAACAAGTGAGGTTTAAAAGTTGTTATCGTGTCAACTCCGTGTCAAACAATCTGTTTGATATATATGATATCACAAAGGTGTTATTGACAAATCCGTTTCATCGTTGCACCGCGTTGCACCGCGTTTTCCCGGGTGCATGGTGACGAAGCAAGGACGAAGCAAGGAGCAAACTTGGGGGACAGGAGGAGCAGACTTGGCCTAGGCTTTGAAGACCTGCTTGGAAGAATTCAGGGGCATGTGAAATGCTCCAACTGCCCTCGTTGTCGAACAAAATCCGCCTCATGTGGTCTAGGCACATCAGCTTGGCCCTGCTGTCCGAGACATGTTCGAGTGTCAAGCACTAGCAGTTAAACATCTTCAACACAAGACAAAGGGGGCTGTTGAGAGTGTCAAAGCTGTGGATAGACCCCTACCTTCGTGAAGCGATTTGAGGGTGGGAGCACGGTGGGTGGTTCGGTGGGTGGCTTTACGGTACAGGGTCTATAGTAAGCTCGGGAACCCTGGAGCCGGGTTTCGGCTCGTGTTCGGCGTAGCGTGGCGCTTCTCTCGCGCCTTTAGCGCGCCGCGTTTGCAGGTATTTGGACCCTGGTGGTGAGGGCAACGTGTCCCTGCAGGAGTGGCAGATCTTGGATCAGCTGTGGAAAGAGCCACTGGGCACAACAACGGTCGGCGTTTGGCGGTCAGAGGTCCGACAGGGCCAGCCTGGTCGAAACGCGATCCTGTTCCAACCTGACTGAATTGAGATCGATTCCGGATGACTCGTTTCTTTTTCGGGGGGGTCACTACACGTTTGTCTCATCATGTGACCTGAGCTGATGGCAAGCAACTACAGTCATTGGGTGCCAAGATTCAGCTGCCCAAACACCTCAACCAGCCAACAAGTACGTTCACTAGTGGTGGCAGTGTTTGTGCTAGCACTAGTACTAGTACCAGTCGTCGTCGTCGTCATGGTCGTCGTCGTCCTGGTAGTAGTAGTAGTAGTAGTAGTAGTAGTAGTAGGAGTAGCAGCAGCAGTAGCAGCAGCAGCAGTAGCAGTAGGAGTAGTAACTAACCGGTCAGCTAAACCTCTGTAAAACTTCTACTTAGAACCTCTACCACATCCTAGAAACAAAAACTGCAGCCCCGTTGTTGTTTTTTTGACCCTCCCTCAAAAGGTGTTGTTGTCTCTACCCCCTCCTAGAAACAAAAACTGCAGCCCCGTTGTTGTTTTTTGGACCCCTCCCTCCAGAACAACACCTCAAAACACTAAAAACGGACCAGCCCAGACTTCAGTGAAACAAGTCCAACAAGTCCGCCTACTGACGAAACCAGCATTCGCTCAAACTTTCAACCGTATCCCTAACCTTGTCCCCTTGAAGTTCCAAAGTTGCAACATGCGACAAATATATTGGGCGGCTCTTTTTGTTTCTACCAACAACAACAGCAGCAACAACAACAACAACCACCAAACAACAATCCAGACGACGACGACGGCCGCCGCCACCACCACCACCAGCAGCACCACCACCAGCATCATCATCATCATCACCACCAGCATCATCATCATCATCATCTTTCTTTCGCGACGCCCTCTGCTTCGGGAGGTAGCGTTGACCCTCTTGAACATTTGTCAGGTCAGGCACTTCGTACCACGTATGGTCATGAAAAGGACTGAGCGATCTGCAAAGCAAGTGCGGCCGTCGTTTCTATGGCCACATCCTGCTGCATGCGCTTCAAGAATCGGTGGAGCATTCCAAAATTGCGAAAACAAGGACAGATATGTTCGTCCATGCCCTCCATCCCACTATAGAAAGGTTGGCAGGCGCACAAACGACCTGGTCTGGCCTGCGTCATGAATTGGAACGTGAGTTCCTCACACGGCTGCTCAGCTTCATCCCACAGCGCAGCATGGTGGAGCCTCAAGTGAGACTTGAGGTCAGGCGGCTGCATGTTGCACAGCACACAGCGCCGCGTCAGGAGGCCGCATGCTTCCAAGGAGTCAAGCAGCAATCGAACGTCGAGACGATCGAGAGCGGGCAGCCAAGCATCAAAAAGTGCATGGTCCTGACTGAACGCTTGCTTTACGTGCAGCATTTGTTGTTCCTTAGTCAAAATTGCCAAGGAGCCTGAGTCAATCACATCACAGATCTGAGCTCCGCCATGGTCCGTAAGCTTCAGCCAGAGGACACAGCAGTTCCTGAGCACGTCGTCCGGAAGTCGAGTCACATGCACTGGAGGCGCTGCATCATCCAACAAAACCCAGTGGGTCTCATCCCAAAGTGCAGTCTGGTAGTGTCCTGAGTGAGGGTCATGACCTACATGATGGGAAACCGCAACCACCGTGTATGGAATGTTGTCAATCTCCATGCTAAAGTGCACGAAGTGAGGTACAAACACTGGATGGTTCCAACTGAGTTTGTGAGTGCATTTGCCCCCATCTCGATTGAATCGGTCTATCTGCACAGTGAGTAGGTCGGCTGGACCAGCAAAGGCCTGGAGGCCATAAGACTCAAGTGACCATGCACTGAACAGCTCTTGCAGCTCGGTCGTATCTTCGTTTTCCGCTGCGCTCAGATAGAGGCGTACAGGACAGAAGTGTGCCCCGCTGTCCACCGTGCGGACAACTCCATCTGCCTCAATCCTGGCCTCCCAGAGATTGCTCAGGAAACAAGGCTCCACAATGGGAAGCAGGAACTGGAGGTATTCAACTAGGTCGTGCTGTGCAAAGGGACGGGCCCATTGATCCATCAAAGAAAGCCACTTGCCATTGCCCCATAGCAAGACAGGCTCACCATCATCATTGCTGACGATGTGTTCGAAGATCTCTGGTAGGACCTTCCATTGGTGTGCCTGCAAAGGCCCCACTTTGATTGCACCCCATAGCAAACCCTGGACGGCTGAGTTCATGTAGCAGCAGTTTCCTGGGTTTTGCAAACCCCTGAGTGTCTGTTTGGAAGCCAAGCTCATAGGGTCTCCAACATCCGGCCGAGGTGGCCTGCCAATGGCGTCCTCTGAAGCGAGGCTGGTCGCATCCTGCCCAAAATGAGTTGCCATAGTCCCGAGAATGCCAGCTCCTGCCACAGGGAATGCATCTCCAGCGAGTACTTGTGGTTCATGGAGAGCGAGAGTCTCCACGGGATCACCTGTGGAGTGGCCACCGTCGGCTTGGTCATGTGCTGCTGAATCTGAGCATTCGGACGTAGGGCGCTGAATCTGACGATCACCGCATGGTTCTGAAGCAATGTCAGAATGCGAGTGAGCTGAGTGGTCACATGGGTCATCGTGAGTGGCGTCTGATCCATGTTGAGCTCGAGCTTCTTGAGCTCCGGATTCCAGTGCAGGAAGGGGAAGTTTAACTCACGAGCATTGTCGTTCAAGGTCACGTACTGATGCTGCAGCAAGGTTTTCACCAGGGCGTCCTCCAAGGGGGTCTTCTGCAACTTCTGAACACGGGCCAGGAGCTCCTCCAGGAGAACATGGAGGACCTTGATCCGAAGAGGAATCAATCTGTCCTTGGGCGCCTGTTGGTGCCAATCGTCCGTGGCCTGCATCATCTTGACCATGCTGGAACCTGGTCCGAGACTCAAAAAAAGCATGAAGTCCTGGTCCACCGCAAGACCCCTCAGAGTGTCTTCGTGTCGAAGAACCAGCCGTGCAAGGGCCTGTACCACTGGTCGAAGTTCGGCGTCTTGTGGATTGTGGCTCTGGTCTTTGCGAGACTTGTGTTTGCCCTTGCCTTTGCCTTTTGGCGGCTGGTGGTCTGCTCTCTGCCTCTTCGGGTTGGGGGTGGGGTCCACCTCCATTGGTGTCAGGGACTTGAGCACTCCCCACATCTCTTGCACCGGATCCTGATCGTTGTCCATGGTGTCCATGGTGCAGCCGACACAATAGAGCAGCGAGTTGGAGCAGGATTGGACACTCGTGTGCTGCTGTTGAATGTGTGTGGCAAAGAGAGCAAAGATCGGTCTCCGGAAGCATGTCCAAAAGATATCTATGAAACAATGCCCCACGTGTGCAATCCCGGGGATGTTGATGTCTGAGATGTAAGTACATGTCGTGGGTCCCAATGAGTCGACCACAAAGAACACAGCACTCTCTGAGGGCAGCACAGAGTTCCGGCAAGGTGAGGATCTTGGAAAGTTCTCCACGGACCAGCCATTCGTCCAGGTCTGGATAGTTCAGCTGCAGTGTAGGGCAGAGGACCAGTAGGTCCAGCTTCAAGGCCTGCGTGAGCACAAGGTCAGGGCCAGAGTTGCGGAATTTGTGAAGATCATGATGCACCATCAAGGCCAGATGAGTGAAGACCGTGCAAACATGGGGTTGGTGGCCGGGTACAAGTACAACCCAGTCGAGAAAGGGGGGTGGAGTGTTGAAGCCACTCTGCATATCTGGTCACCTCCCTCCAGCGATCTCCATGATCCGAGCACAGATGTCTGAGAAGGGAGGTGGAGCTCTGGGAGAGATGACCACACAAACCACACCTAAGACCAAGGCGCCGAAACAGGCTTTTGTACCCCACCAAGTGATCGAACGTGCCCCCACTGAGTCCAGCCAAAATGACAGGGTGCCGCCAAAGAAATGGTGTCTCGGCCATGTCCTGAGTATAGGCCTCACATTGGTTGCCGTCGATGTGGTGTTTCAGCTCTCTCAAGGTGGTGAAGGTGGTTTCACAATGAGTGCATTGGAGCTGACCAGGAGTTTGGTCCCTGCTAGGATTGAACGTGTTCTGGGTCGTCGTATGTGGATGTTGCATGCTCATATGTTGATGGAGGCCGGCGGCAGTGGCGAATCGGTTGGTGCAAATGCCACAAGCAAAGTGAGCCTGCATCCAAGTGTGGGCCTGAGGGGTAGGATCAGGTGCATCCGGGTGAAGGTCCCTGTGTCGTCGGTCACCAAGTGCAAGGCCCAGTTGTTTCATCACGGGACATGTGTGGGTCTTGGACTTGAACTCCATGTGACAATATGAGCATGGTGAAGTCACTCTGGCTCGAGTGATGTTGGGAAGCACTTCATGCATGATCGTGGCAGCACCTGAATGTTCCCTGTTCATATGCGCACTCATCTGCTGAGTGCGTGCAGCCCAGTAGCCACAGAGAATGCAGCGATGCGTCAGGAAGGTGCAGAGAGGATGATCATCCTTGAGCAGCTGCAAATCTCCAGCATCATAGATATCCAGGAGTCGTCGTCGGTGGCTGGTCAGGACCAGCGGCGGTGCCTTGGTTGGATCCAAGTGGGTGCAAGTGTGAGAGCTGATGTGATGTTTAAGGTTTTGCCAGCTGATGAAAGCTACACCGCAGTGTCTGCATATCGGGCGTCCATCAACCGCATCCCTAGAGATTTGGAAAGTTGGTCCCTGCATCACCGCAATGCCATGTACATGGATGAGATGTCGCCGTAATGTGTGAAGTCGTCGAAAGGTGAGACCACACTGTTCACAGTTCAGACCTGCCTGGGCCAGCTCTGGTGAATCATCGGCGGCATCGTCCATGTGATCCTGCAGCCATTGGTCAATGAGTTCTATGGAATGAAGTATGTGTTGAACATGAGTACCATGAAGAATATCATCAGGCTGCAAGTGGCCCTGATTCCGTTCCCACCTCTGAATGTGGGAAAGAAGGCGGTGACGCAGAGCACTCAACGGGTGCTCCAGTCCATGCACACGCAGGA